GAGAGAGAGAGAGAGATGTACGCAATTCCTACAAAGTAGATGTGTGAGTTTAATATTATTTCAATAAAACCAATAAAGATAGATAAGAAAATTATCACATATGTATTTAGTATCTAAGAGACAGAGATAAGATATATCATTTTGCTTAAACGTAATAATTAATTACTGTAATTAAATAAAATAATAAATTATGGCAGAAAAAGTTTCACTGATTTCCATAATCAGAACGAATCAAAAGTCAAATAAATTGAAGAATTTTCGCTGATTTGAAAAATTCTTATTTTTTCAAACATTATTCTAATTAATATTTATGTGATCGATAGTTCAAAGTTATTATTTATAAATAACAATATTATTACTTACAACATTAACAATTACAGTGAGTTATTAGCAGATCGTAAGCTGTTATCTTTTATAATTGGAATTTATTAGGAGCTGAAATAAACAAATCTCATCCATCATTAGTGACATCCGTGACATTAAATTAAACGTTTCAGATGTGAAGATCCCGTGATCGGACAAACAATGTTTACATTTTTTCGCGTTAGAAAGTAATTGAAATTACAGCAAGATTGATAATTTCGAAGTGAAAGTCAAGCCTTTTTCATGCGCATCTTAACGGGACTTGCACTTCGCAGGTTCGTTCTACTGCTAAACATCGCTAAGATCTGCGAGACGAGGTCATTGATCCTTCCACCGGCTCTTATAATGCGTACTGCGCTAGATTAAACAACATTCCCTTTGTTCCTTGCTACTGACAGTGAGTCCTTATTTACAAAACTGGGTATGTAGCACATTTAGATCGGGTTATCACCAACTTCGCGTCTACAAACAGAGATATCTAAAATACTCGGCTGTTATTCAGCTAGCGAAAACTATTGAGATTTATGCGAATATTTTAGCAGAGTTATAAAGGAAAAAAAATATTATAATGAATAATGCAGAGATGCGTAAGTTCTTTCAACGTGAAACCTTTCAAAATTTTTATGTTTTTTATCTATATAATTTTTCTCCTAAGACACTATTCGAACAACGAAGAATGTAAATGTAATAACAAATTAAAAAAGTTCACTACTCCGGTAGAATTTAATTAAGCCTTAAGAATTCAGAAATATATTCCAAAGAATTCTAAAAATAAATTGCAAACGTACAGCCAATATGTCCCCTCTGGAATACATCACAATTGAATGCGCCAATGAATACATGCCATTGTTAAATATACAATTGTTAACGAAGTCATTTAGCATGCGCAAAAAAAAAAATTGTTAAATTCTTCGGCGTTTATGCTTGAGGCTTTCTCCTAATAATTTTATTTTACGGCTAATGAGATAAAAATCAATTTTTTACTTTTATTGAACATTTTTATTTTTAACAGCTGATCACGTTTCGAGGCGCATAACTGCCTAGATTAAGAAGAGGCGATAAAGGTTGTCGCTAAAAATAGAGAACGAAACGTATTTCCGCACACATGTCGATTATTCTCGAAGGAGTGGTCACCACATAAAAAAATCCTACCGCTCATTACGAGCCGTGTTACGATCGTACAATTACTTTCGTTCTCGTCGGGAAACGGACGTAACTCTATCGTTCTGATTTTTCTCACAAACTCGCCGTTACATGTGACTGCTCGTAAAAACCATATAGCGGCGTAATAAATCTTTTTATTACCTGTTGCGTTTGTTTGTTCGAACGCTGTTGTCGCTATTCTACTGTATTGTACGCTCAAATTATTCAGTCGCTTCTTGTAACAAAAGGTGCGAAAAAATACTTCTTTAGGATGATCTAAGCCATTGTTTGCTAATTTTTATGAACTTTTACTGAGCATTAAAAGTAAAGACCGTTATAAAACGCTATAACAATATATTAATGAAGATCATACATCAATAGTATTCACTCTATCAAAATGACTAATTTTAGTACGCGGTCAATGTCGAGTCTAATCTGGCAATCCAAGGCAAAATTCATTTGTGAATTGATCTAAATCAAATGAGAATATCGGCGTAGTAGTTTTATCATCGCGTAAATTGACCTTTTCTTATCGCCTATACGCGGATTTCTTATCATCTACATTGTTGCGCGCCACTTTTAAATGAGATAAAATGTTGTAATTTTATTAAAAAAATTAACATATCGGTCTTTATACGATAATTCCACTTAACTGTTTGCTGAGATAAACAGAAATAGACAAATGTGATGATTCGCAATAAAATCTAGAGTGCTGAGTAAAGTATACAATTGCATTGTTTCTTTTGGCAATTAATTATATCAAAGTAATAATATATTAATAATAAAATCAACAAAATTGTCGTATATATTAACTTTTCAAAAAAACCTGTCGTATATATATTAACTTTTAAAAAAGTTGTCGTATATATTAAAACCTTTCAAAAAATGCTGTGTATATTAAAATTATAAAAAAGTATGATATCAGGAAATGTGCGCCAAAAATTTAATCAAATTAAAAAAATTTTTATTTAAAAATGCAAAAAAAACTTGGCGCTGCTACATTGAACTACATGTTAATTTACATGATGTCAATTAATCATGCCAATTATTATATTATTATTCATTTTCATTGCTTTATAATATCTGAAGGTGTAGCAGCGCCTAAGTTTTTTTGTCTATTTTTAAATAAATTATTTTTTTATTTTGATTAAACTTTTCAATATTTCTTCATTTTCTGATTAAATATTTTTTTTTTTTTTAAATGTATTTATCTTTTAATTATATATAGTATATAGTATATAGTATATATAATATATAGTATATAGTATATATAGTATAGTATATATAATATAATATAGTATACGTAAAATATAGTAAATATAACTTATCGCTTTTAAATTTTTCACGACACGAATTGGAGTTTTTAAAATTACAATATTATATATATTTCTGCATTTTTTAAATTTTAATTTTTAATTATTTTTATTTTCTTTAAATAAAAATTGAATAATTAAAAGTTCAATGGAAAATCACCTTCTTCCTATCGAAAGTTTTCTATGAGAAAGTTTCTCTCCATTAATTATTTTTGTAGCATTGAATAATGCAAGTGGAAGAATTCAACGGGAAATACATGTAGGATGATTCAATAAAATTAGAGATTAACTTGACACTTGTTCTGTTTTTAATAACGAGCAGAGTTTTTTCCTAAGATAAAAATGTGCATTTGTCATTGTCATACCACTTATTACGTCGTAACACATTCTCAACACTTCGATCTCTAAGTTTACGTCATCGGCTACTTTATAATTCGCAGTGCATTTTATTACAGTTATACGAGCGATGGAATATTTCGTATACAAACGACACAAATTTTCATTTTTCTTCACCATTCCTGTCTCCGTATTACGTATGAACGTGAGACTTGAATTTATGTAAAATACGAAATTCGATGTAAATAAGTATGTTTTCTCGTCAAATCTAACAAGTACAATCGATTATTCAAATCAAACCAGCCGAGAAACATTGACATAAGTTCAATTGGTAAGACTATTCACGTCGATGACTAAAACTATTATTTGATTATCAAAAACATTAAAATTATGTTAAATATATGTAAAATAGATGTAAAAATATATAATTCTACATAAATGCGTAGTTTTCCATAAAACCTTGTCTTTTTATAACTGCATGAAAAAACCTTATATTTATACAGAAAGAAATATAAACTTTGTTGCTCGACATTAATTGGTTATTCAAATGAATGCAACTGACTACAAAAACGTAGCATTATAATGATGCATCAAGGGTATCTAGCATCATATACATACAAACGTAATTGCATCATCTAATGCGTTACAATTACTAATGTTGCGCGATTCTTTTCAAATACAGTCTCTTGTATATAGTTACTAAAACAACTCGTGCTCCTTCATCGCCTCGTGACATTTTCGTTATTTATATAATCCAAATAAAATATGATGACAGAAAAGGTCTTTTTAAAAATATAATGAAATAAATTATGCATAAATGAACTTAATTACGAGGAGCATAATGACACGGAAAAGCGTGAGACAGAGATCCTCCGGCGATCGATAACTCCCTGTTGCTGCCCGGGAATCTCGCCCGGAGGATAGCGGCATGCGAAAATGACGCTGAATCGCGTGTTGTGATGGTGTTTCACGGCGTCCGGTGTCTTACCTGGTCGATTGGCAAGCCGACGTAATCCGACAGCCAGGAGAAGGTGCGAAAGCCGTCGTAATGCTCCATGGTCGCGGCCATTATCAAGGACCCGCCGAAACAGTCGAAATGTTATGGGGAGCGCGATCGCGGAATACGCGAGGCGGGCCACGAGGCAGCACGAGAGCGATACGCGGGCGATTAGCGATGATTCAGTCTCTACGTCAAGCAATCAAATGCGTGATCACCAGCTATATATACGAACTTGTAACATGCACGTACGGACGGGCGATTACAAACTGAATCGCAGCGCACGCCGGCTGCGTTGCGTTGCCGGCATCGGCGAAGATGCCTGCTTGCGTCGCGCCGTGCGATTGTTGCGAACCAATCGCTCGCGAGCGTGGACCGAAATAGTGGTGGACGTGTGAAATTGCTATCGTAATTTCGAATTATGAAAATCACTATTCGTACGGTTGAATTCGAGAGATTTTCGCGATAAATTGCGAAATAGGAAGAAGGAAATGAAAAATTATAATAAAAAAAAATTAATATTGCTTGTGTTATCAATTTTTGTGGATTTTTCAATGTCGTTCTGTTGCGAGGAACCAGGAAGAGGTGTGGTAAAAATATTTTTGAAATAATTAAACTTTTCTTCTAATTAATTATATTTTTTTATCATGTTATTGACACAACACAGAAACAAACCACGAACATTTAAAATTACCGGCTAATTTGAATAAAATAAGTATATATCTTTTAGAACACTTTGACTGTGCTGAAAAACTATTTCACACAACAATTTTTTTAGATGCTTTTATTTTATATGTCGCATTATATTTTGATATATTTGAAAAATAATTTACATTTAACTTTATTATTGCACAGGTACTATTTTTTTCATATACTCTTTTATATAGTACATACAGTATTTACATATCTTCAAATAAATCTTTGAATTATGTAATTATACGTGCATTTTGTTCTATACGTCTATACCGTCTACAGAAAAATGCCATAGCTTGTTAAATTGCATGTCGTTTTAAACGAAGTCAAAATATTTGAAATAATTGCACTCATTATTAATAATTGCTCGACGAAGTTATTCGTCTGAATAGATATTATCACTTAATAAATGAGACAATATATAGACAAAATAAAATATTCTTATTTAATTACACTCTAACAATGATAAAAACATATAATAAAAACTGCAACATTCATAGAGCAGTAAAATTGCAAAATTATTTTAAAAAACTAAAAAAAAAGTTTTTTTAAGTCCTTTTGTTGCGCAATATATTCGAGCCCTCATCGTTAGCTACAAATTTCCAATATTTACACTGTACACGATTTCAAAGATCTCAGAAACTCTATACATTTTGTTAGGAATTATTTTTCTACCATTTTCATGTTAAATATTATAAAAGGCTACTTATTATGGTGTTAAAGTGATAGTATGTGTGCGATAATTGGAAAAGAAAATTGAGCTAATCGATGCATTAAGAGAGGCATACAATAAATGTATTGTCTTGCTCCTCATTCGTGATTCAATCTATTATAATTTTTCTACTGCTAGATTAGTCAGCCATGAAATCAATACAGTAACGAAATATATTCGTTATTTCATTAATACGTAATTTCAACAATCTTCCAACACAAACGAGGTAGTTGTGTAATGAAGAACCAAAGTCGCGCGCGCTTTTCTTTCTCAGATTATTCACTAAACTTGAAATGAATTCTTTCTTCGGTGAAAATTTCGCTAAAATTTCGCTAATACTACTTTAATACTATTTTTATATTTTATTAAACAGTCATAAATTTAATTAGCTGAGAAAAAGTTGTTATTTATATACAATTTCTCGAAATTTAATAAGCTACAGCATCTTAAGTGACAACATTAATTAATTAAGCCAAGCAGTTTTTACCGAGGAAAAATCAAGCTCAAGTGCGAATAATCTGACATTGACGGACAATGTGCGACTCCCGATACGCGATGCTTTATTTGATTTTTATTTTATGCAGTTTCAGCTTGAAACCGAGCAGCTCTGAAAGCACACCTGAAAGTGCTGACAGCAATACTACCTTAGTAATAGTGTACAGATACGGATTAGCCGATAGTCCAGAGATTTTGAACGGGCTTTCTAATTCCTGCAAAATACCTCTTTGGATTAATTGTTTTCGACTAGCTATTTATCAAACTTGCAATAGAAACGCATACCTTTATTAAGTCAGCCGCTAACTTCAATACACTATTCGCGACCATAAGCTCTTCCTTTTTATGCGGTTTTTGTTCGATTTGCAGATATAGATTGATCTAAAAGTTATATCGCGTCGTATCATAATAAATCAGTTTTAAACAATCCAAAATGGAAGCGTGCAAGCGTGCGTATTTATGGTAAAATCTACCTGTTCAGTTATCAAAACTGAGAGATTCCTGTACTTCTTGTTGATCTTTGTCCCTAATGTCATAAATCGTAATATAAATATTCCAAGCGAGAAGCTCCAGAATAGTGCTTCGACGTTGTATCGAGAATGCAAACTTTCCAGATCCTGAAATACGATTTGCATTGTTGACGGAAAAATTTAAAAGCAGACTTATATATTTGCGAAAAATAAAATTGTACTTACTTTAATTAATTCCAAACTTACGAATGATAGCAATAGTATCGTAACGATAAATACCGCTGATACAATTACGTCGACGGATCGTTGCGGGCCTCTTCTCTGCAATATGAAATTATAATATAATATAAAGTATGCATATATCTAATTCCTGTGGAAATCAGTGTGCAGTGTTCTTACTTTCAAATAAGATCTGACGCTCAGCCAAGTTTTTATATTGCGGACTTTGTTTAGACGGAAGTGCGGCAAATCGGACTTACGCGCACGTCTGGACGATGTTAAATGAGAGAATAATTTAGCATACAAGAGCCTCTGCTTGTACGTGCGCTCTGCGACCGCCAGTAAGAAAAATAAAAAGCACGACAGCATTAAGCGTTCAAATGTCGAGATGAGCACCACTGTTCGTTCCCTGAGAATAAAGCAGCTATTTTAGAAAACTATAAACGTGCCATTTTAATGTATAAACTTGATTCTCTTACCAAAGAGTGCTTCCAAACGCTATACCAATTATTCTACACAAAATATCGGTGTATGTTTCCAAGTTCACTTGGATCATATCGCTTGGTAATAAACTAACGGATACATTGCCAACATTATCCAACCCCATATGATCGTTCAGTCGCCTCATCGATGGTATAAGACACAGTGTAATGCTAAGTATCAGACCGCCGTAAAAGTAATTCATGCTTTCTTGCATAGATTCAACTCTGGCAATGATAGCCGAACTAATGTCCAGTACCGACAATTCAGCCTTCTTAATATCACGCCGCGTCCAAATTGTACATGAAACTATGGATAAAGTGATGTGAATTAGTGTCGTGAGGAATTCGTTCGCGGAAAATTCTGACGATGTACGATATATGTCACACTAACCGCGATCAGACGATGTGCAAGTGGAATTAAGCAATATCGAAGGTGGTAATTCGAATTCCCAGGAGAAAGGGTGCTCCACGAATTCTCCATAATTGGTCTCACTAGGCAAGTCGGATTCTCCGAGTTCTGAGCTGCACAAATATCATTTTACGATAAACTGTAATTATGTATCTTCAACTTCAAAAAGTGGGAAAACGTCACAGATATTTTATCGTAGCTAAAAAATATTATGTGTTCGAGTCCCACCTGTAACTACATTCATCGCTGTTGGTCGTTACTCCCATCCACTCTGTAGCAGAAGTTGTTGCCTCTGTGAGATGGTGCGTCGTGGCTTCCTCGCACTCCCCTTCCTCTTCGCTCTCGCATTGCTGCCGTGCTTCTCTCGATCCCAATAGTTTTGACGGCGCGTTTTTATCCTTGGAGCAAGACCGAGAAATTATTATAAGATGTAAAATGTGTTAAACAAATATTCTAAATATCTTTTATTTCCGATAACATAAAACATATCTAAAATTGCAAAAGGTAAGGTGCAATTGTAGAAAAAAACATAATAAAAAAATCTCTTACACTATAAATCTAAACAAGTGTAAAAGATAATACCTTAATACTGTTGTGAGTGCTTTTACTATCCGTAAAACTGTCATCACTTTTTAATAGGTCGGGTGCTGCGTGGAAAGTGGAAAACGATGATTTAGCTATTACTCCATTTTACCTTTCCAACAAAGATTAAAGCGTGTTAGCGGTTCGGAATACAACAAACAACTAAAAACAAATTAAAAGACTTCTCAATACTTTGATACAGTTACACATATAAATCGTAAAATCGGAAGAACCACTAAATATACTTTGAAACTTGTGGAAAATTATACATTTGTAATCGTGTATATAGCATATTCGATAACAAATAAAAGCTCATAAATAATTATAAACTGCCTATTTTACAAGCGTGTACTTGTAAATCAAACCTGAGCGTTTTGATGGGAGTGAAATTTGTTGACTAGTGCTATCTTCCGACCACGAGGTGCGGTCTTTAGTTTGTCGTGTCACTCCCTCTTGTGATCTATTTCTTTGCACTAGTGCACGACCTATTACTTTGTCATTATCACTAGAAACATTACCATTTAAACTCTCAAAGCCATCATCATCCTGATGTATATTTGCTACATGTTCTTCTGGCATATCACCTGTATTGTAAGTAGAGAAAGAAATAGATATCAAAATGTTGAAGTATATAAATTTACAAACAATTAATAGTTTCTTTTTATCTTACCCGGCTGTTCACGATTAGTTGCGCTTGCGTTTGTGGGATTAGAACTTTCTCCAGTTGTACTTAATGACTCTTTATCATACACTATTTGAGCACTTGCAGATTCCTGTTGAAAATATTAAAGCATATACGTTACGTATTAAACATATATATATTAATTTTCTATTATAACTTTGAGATATTCACCTGAGACTGACTAACAGTCAAAGAATTCTCAATCACCACTTTTTTGGCAAATCTCACTGCAGTCAGCACTTCTTCACTTCCTGTACTTGCTTTCTCGGAAGCCATGTCTTGAGAAGACTTTGTATCCTTATGTATACCTTCAGAAATTTGATCCATATTACAGAAATGAAGAATTTTTCTGTTTTCCTAAATACTTACGTAAATTTTGCCTAGATCTTGACTTTCCATTTCTGCATCTAACATGTCGAGAGCGTCTTGTTATTCGTTGCTTAGATTGATTACACGTCATAGTAGGACCTGAATGCGTCGACACAATATGGGAATGAACAATGCACAAAATAAACATCATAACAAGAGGTACTAATACTTCTGACATTGATACAATCTGTAAACAGAACGTAACAATCAAGACAAGTAGCGATGTAACATATTCCAGGAAGAACAAGAAATTTCTTTACATACTTCTGTTTCATTTTCCCTGTTTGTGTAAACGTAATACAGAAAGACGTTGACTGCTTGTAAGCTGTACAATAACAAGAAAAGCACAAAAATGCGATAACTCGTTTGCTGTATCCACCACTTTTTGTACAATGGAAGGAACAAGAGTCGCTGAAACGCTAGGCAAGCTACCGTTGACAAACCATGCTTCGGTTTGGCTTTCGGAAATGAAGATCCTATATGCATTGATATATTGAAGATGAATACATATGCTTGACAGGAACACTAAAATAATATGCATATATATTGTGTAGCGTACCACGTACGAGATCGACATCGATCAGTTCTGTTTTAAGTTTTGCAGTTCTCATTGGAATATGTGTGAGTCCATCGAGAATATGTTGCTCTATAGTTCTCTCCCATTGTTGCTTATCATATGTGCCAATTTTTTTTTGATACCTGAAAGAATTTCTTATTTATTATATCAATATTATCTTCTCTAAATTTTATTCCAGTTTTAGTCACTTTTTGTTTAATATTAGCTCAATATCTAAGTTGAATCTAATTTGGAGCATTACAAAATATCAAATTTCTAATTATGTTAAATAAATTCAATACGATCTCCAAAGATTTCTCACCAATACACCAGTTCGTTGAGACCCATGTCCAATCAACGCATCGCAGTCGCAACTTGTGATAATTATATTTAACCGAAACAAAACTACAGACTAGAAACGGAGTGCAAATTATTCGCAAATTTGTAGAAAAGCCCCGAAGTATTTGGAGTAATATTATATCATCGTTCTTCTAGTGTTGAGATAAATATTCGTTTTTCTCTCGTTTGAATAAAATTTCTTACTAAGTTCAAACGTGGAAAGAGTTATTTTAATAATTTTGCTTTATTAGAAATGTATTAGTCTGACTGGAGTTGGTTGCAAAATGGAACGGACGCACAACAAAGCACAATCCGTAGATATAAGCGGATGAAACCGGAATGTATCGGAGCATTAATATCATCTAGTTGCCACCCGCAGGAGAAGAGCAAGATGGCATTCTTCTGCCACGACTTTCCACGAATCTGATGATTGATAAACAGCGCGATAGATTTTAGATGGCGGGACCCAAGATCTATAGAGAGAAGGTTACCTCAGTAAAACCGGTTGAAAGCGAGGGACGATGAAGTAAGGGGGAAGCTAGAAACAGCTTGATGGCGAGGAGCGATGAAGGAAGGGGGGAGCTAGAAACAGCTTGATGGCGAGGGGCGATGAAGGAAGGGGAGAGCATGATGATCTCATCGACAAACAGTAGCTGTCTGAGATAGCTTCTGTTTGCCGATGAGATCATCATTGCCCCTCTTGCCGCTCGCCCCTCTCAGCATTTGCCCCTCTTGCCGCTCGTCCCTCTCTGCATTTGACCCTCTTGCCGCTTGTCCCTCTTTGCGCATGAGGTAACCTTCTCTCTATAGATCTTGGGCGGGACCAACGTCCGTAACGTCCGTAACGTCTGTAATGAAAATATTTCGCGATGGGGTTAAATTAGGTTAGGTTGTGTTAGGTTAGGTTTTACATGACGTAAGAAATGTAAAGACCATCAGGGTCAAGATCTATAGAGAGAACGTTACCTCAGGCAAACCGGTTATGGGCGAGGGACGATGAAGTAAGGGGGGAGCTAGAAACAGCTTGATGGCGAGGGGCGGATAAAGGAAGGGGAGAGCATGATGATCTCATCGACAAACAGTAGCTGTCTCTCTCTTTCAAAGTTCTTCCTTTTCTAACTGTGTCTAACTCCGTCACTCGCTCTCATTTGGTTTGTTCTTTATAGCTGAACTGGCTGCACTAGTTCAGAGTTTATCTTTTTCCCTCCACATTGGAAGAAGAAAGATAAACTCTGAACTAGTGCAGCCAGTTCAGCTATAAAAAACAGACCTATTATTGACTTTTATGTATCAGTTTAAGAGGTTATATAATAAAAATCGAAGGTACGTATATTAAATATTTTGTCTGTTATTTCCCCTAACATATTCAAATGAACAAAACCGAAGAAATAATTTAACTTACATTTATGAATTTCAGTTACAATTTCTTGACAATTTTTGAGATTTTTACAATTAAATATAAAAAATAAATTTCTTTATAGTATTTCTTTTGTAAATAATGCATATAAACAGTAAATATTATTTTAAAAATAATTTTTAAATATGTACTATTTTTCTTTTATCTTACTACTTTACAAATGATGTTTTTTGTGTATATCCCCAAATTATATTTTATTTTCATTGATATTACAGTCTAAATACGAGTACAAAG